TTTTTAAAGTTTGAAGAATGAAAATAATAATAAATTATAAAATAAAAATAATTTATACTAAGCATAATATATGAATTATCATTCAGAACCAGCTCTTTACCAAACCTATAGCCTTTAGCAACGGTCATCCCTGTTTTCAAAAACCTTACTTAGTTGAAAATTACAGACCAATCTCATTGTGTTGTGTTACGTGCAAAGTTATGGAATCAACCTTCCACCTAGAGTCTTAACAACTTACTCTGCAATAAACAATTTGGTTTCAGAAAAAAATTGTCCTGCAATTTGCAGCTTCTACACTGCGAAAACATGTGGACTACATTTCTCGACCAGGGTAAAGCAATAGATGTAATTTACATTGACTTCTGCAAAGCATTTGACTCAGTGGTACATGACAATTTATTATTAAAATTAAATTCTTACCACATTTCCAGATCCCTTCACAAGTGGATTACTGCCTTCCTGACAAACAGGCAACAAATAGTAAAAATAGGAAACACCCTATCAAACCCTGCACCAGTTTTCAGCAGTGTCCCAAAAGGGAGCGTTCTAGGACCCACACTCTTTACACTCTATATAAATGACCTTTGTGATCACCTTATTAGCAACTGCGTCCTCTTCACAGATGGTAAAACTATTCAACACCACTGTCAATGCTACTGTTTTTCAAAAAGACCTTGATTATGTGTCTGAATGGTCTAACAATTGGCAACTCCAAATATCTACCAACAAATGCTCTTTCCCAGACATTTCCCAGGCAAAAAAAATCTATATACCAAATACAATTTACATGGATATGACCTTGTTGATGACCCTCACTCTGGCAAGGACCTTGGAGTTCTCACATTGAATGATCTAACCGCCAAAGCTCAGTGCAACAGTATTGCCAAAAAGGCTTTAAGAGCTGTAAATTTAATTTTACGAAGCTTCTCTGGTAATACTGTTTTGCTAACTAGGGCATTCAAAATCTTTGCTAGACCAATACTTGAATTCAGCTCTGTTGTCTGGAATCCGCACTGTATATCTGACAAAAATACAATTAAGTGAGTCCAGAAGTATTTTACCAGAAGTGTTCTACATTCCTCTGTTTACAACAGAATACGCTACAGCACCAGACTTGAGATTCTTGGTTTAGACAACCTTGAACTACGCCGACTAAGATTGGACTTAAGCATAGTACATAAAATCATATGTTACAACATCTTACCAGTTAATGAATATTTCAGCTTTAACAACAACAACACTAGAGCGCATAACAGATTTAAACCACTCAAAACTCGACTGCAGGAAGTATGATTTCAGCAACAGAGTGGTCAATGTCTGGAACTCACTACCTGATTCTGTTGTCACCTGCTCAAACTCCCACTCTTTTACCCTTAAACTAACCTCTATTGACCTCACCCATTCCTAAGAGGTCTGTAAGGGGTATGCATAAGCATCCAATCTTGCTTACCATCCCTGTCCTATTGTCCCCCAATTACTAGTTCCTATTTCTTGTATTTAAACTTATGTTTATTCTTGTTTCTGTTATATTGTAAGCTTTTGACAAATAAAATAAATAAATAAAAGACAAAACTCCTTTATCGGGAGATCAAGATCAGGAGAGACTGGAGACTTTGGGTGCTAAATGAAGATAAGAGATGAACAGTTGAAGAATGTGTTATATTTTTGCAATGTGGGAGGCTCATTATTGTGCTATGAATTAGATGTCCTGGTTTGAAAGTAAAGAATAAAGCATGACAGCCAGAGTGATTTCTTGAGCTATGACAATGTTTTTTAACCAATCCATCACATATTCCTGCTAGAACACAGAAGTCTAGATGGAACAAAAGTTCAGCAATGTCATTCCAACATTCCTAGTTCAGCATGTTGAATTGTCTTGCAGTTATTCCACCTTAAAGGCATCCTACTTCCTGTTCCTCCTCATGTTCACTCTTTTGAATGACTTTAATCACCTACAAAGGAAAGCTCTTTCCCTCTATATCAACAGTAGAGGCCTTCAAATTTCTAGGTTCTATTATATCACATGACCTAAAATGGACACCTAACATCAAAAACATCATCAAAAAAGCACAACAAAGAATGTTCTTTCTGCGCCAGTTCAGAAAACTCAAACTGCCCAAGGAGCTGCTAATACAGTTCTACAGAAGAATTATTGAGTCTGTCATCTGCACATCTATAACTGTCTGGTTTGGTTCTGCAACCCAACAGAACAGACACAGACTTCAGAGAGTAATTAGGACTGCAGAAAAAACAATTACTACCAGCCTCCATTGTTTACTGCGCAAGTCAAAAAGAGGCTGTGAAAATATTTACAGACTCCTCACATCCTGGACATAAACTGTTTCAACTCCTTCCCTCAAAATGACATATAGAGCACTGCTTACCAGAACAACTAGACACAAGGACAGTTTTTCCCTGAATGCCATCACTCTGCTAAACAAATAATTCCCTCAACACTGTCCAACTATTTGCAAAGTCTGCAGTACTATTACTATTAATCTTCTCATCACTCTTCATTACCCATCCCCTCTTGCTGTGTGACTGTAACTTTGTCGCTTGTATCCTTACTATCTATATTGACTGTTTCCTAGTTTGATTTGATTGCTTATTGTACCCTGTGACTATTATTAACTGTTTTACCTTATGATTCTTGACTCTTGACGAATGTATCTTTTCTTTTATGTATACTGAGAGCATTTGCACCAAGACAAATTCCTTGTGTGTCTAATCACACTTGGCCAATAAAGAATTCTATTCTATTCTATTCTATTCTATTCTATTCTATTCTATTCTATTCTATTCTATTCTATTCTATTCTATCCTATCCTATCCTATCCTATCCTATCCTATCCTATTTTTATCTGTTGCTTTCATCATTTTCTGCAAAGAGAAGATGGTTAAACCAGACATTCCTGTCCATGCCATTGGGAATATCCTTTATTTTCTGCCTACATTGCTTTCACAGTTCTTTTGTCCTCTTTATTTTTGAAGTGGCTTCTAAGAGATAAGGTTTCCTTCTGTACTTTTTCCTGCTGTACTTCTTGCTTCTCAAAGTCTTTTGCAAAGTGTTTTTTGCAAGACATTTTTGCAAATGTCTTTCAGATTCTCTGCTATGTTCGGTCAGCCTTTTGTCAGTCTCAGCTTTTGACTTTGCCTTCCAGCAATGAACAGGAACTCTTTTTATATTCTGCCTTTCATCCAGAAGCTGAGATGACATAGATAGAACTCCTTCCTTTTCTCCACAATCTGAAATAGGTTTATCTAAAATAGTGTTTCTCAACTTAGCACTTTAGTTTGCATGGACTTCAGATCCCAGAATTCTCCTGCCAATGCTGGGAGCTGAAGTCTATACATCTTTAGGTGGCCAGTATTGAGAAACTAAGAAAATGACTGGCCTGAAGTCAGCCAGGAAGCTTTCACAGCTCAGGATGGACTGGAAACCTGGTTCTGCATTCCTAGTCCAACTCGTTACTGATGCACTACGCTGGCTGTCTTCATTATTTTTATTTTTTGAGAGACTAGAGCTGTTCAAAAGAATGACTTTAAGGTATACATTAATAGTTGAGAGTTTTTTTTTTACTTTGCTCTTCAGTTACTAATGTATTCTAATAAAGTATGAAATTGTATGTGTGTGTATTTGGGTAATTAACATAGGATGAACAAATTGCTATAAAAATAGTAATTGTCAAAAAAGAACCATGACTGCGCAACTGATCTTGAGCGCCCTCTAGCGTTGTACAATGGCAGTTTAAAAAAATTTTTGGGGAGCAATGTGGTTATTTTATTTATGTATTAGTTGTTGGAGTAGAGTTGAGGTGTTTCAGTAGAGACATCTCAATATGTCTCCTTATGAATCATTATGAAGGAAGTAGTGAAAGAAATCCATATCACATTCTAACACACTAAGAAGTAGTGAAATGTAAATATAGCTTTTAGTTTATGGGTCAAGCTTACAAAGGCTCTAAGTTTCTAAAATGCTGTTTCTGTCATGCATATGGGAATGATTTCCCCATATGTAGCAGTGTTTTCCATCTTGTGCAGAAAGCTGTACATAACTGTGAAAGGAAGGTTAAATGACATGAAAATAATATTCTGTTTATTAGCAGAGGAGCATTTTGCCTGTTTAATAAAATTAAGATACCTTCCCCTATAATCTAATCAATTGCACTATCCTTATCTTTGAGAAAAAAGATAGAGACAATGAATACATTTGCATCTAGTCTGGTTTGCATAGCCCTATCACAGCTGTTTGCCTCTTTGGGAATGTTCTGCATTATTGGTGGGTTAACTCAGTCAGTTCACTTCTTACAGAACTAAAAACAGGAAATTGTCTGCCATGTGTGTAGAATCTTCCAGTATCTTTTAGTGGTATTACCTTCTGGGCTCCAGTAAATGCTTCGGTGCATGATGTGCATATCACAATGCTGTTATGGTGGCATTACAGAACAAATAGCGCTAAAATAATCTATCAGTTAATGGTCTGTATGGCAGTTTGAACGCAGAATATTCATTGTGCTTATGTTTTTAGAAGGATGAGTTTGTATCTAAAGATTGCTGCATATTTTTCAGAACTTAATGTCCTCAGCTGTTGCTGACACAAATAGATATCTTTTAAAAATGCAGCTTCAGCAAGGTTCTCTCTACAGAAATGTCTACAATAGTTTAATGCTAGATCTCAAAAAGAGTGAAATTTTCAAGGATTTCACCCTCCTCCCCCAAAACCCAGACATCAAGGAAACATTTGTTTCTCTCTTGCCAAATGTTTTTCAAATGCCAGCAGCAATGTTTCTCTTTTTATGTGTGAAAATGAATATGGCAGCAGTAGCAAAGAGGATGTGGAGGTACATTTTGCAATGAAAAAGATGCTTTTTGTTGCACTTAGAAAGAATAGTAAGGACCAAAGGTAGATGTACTCTTTTTTTAAAAAGACTCCGAAAAAAAGCTTCACCAGAGCAGAAATCAGGCTCAAAAATCTAATGTATGCATCTTTTCTTCCCCAGACAATAAAAAAACCGATTATGTTAATTTCTATCAAGGTTTATGGGACTGCACTGGTGATATTCCTGATGAGCTGTCATTCAAACGTGGTGATGTTATCTACATTCTCAGTAAGGTACTGTATTCAACCCCTAATAGATAGTTATGGGAAGATAGTTGAAATAAGACCAAGGGGGAAAAAAAAGAAAACTTCAAGGTCGTCAGGAAATGGGCATTTCCTTTGCATCTTTCACACTCAGTGAGAAGTTCCATGCACATTAATTATTTTGTCAATTTAATGTAACCACATTTGAAGTGTTATTGTGCAACAGGAATTGTCTTTAAAACGTATTTATCTCTGTTTGGAATCTTGGTTACCCACCACTAAGTAACTTCCCACTGAGACAATGCTCTTATTGCTTGTAAAATGTAGCTTTGTCAATATAGTATGGAGTGGATGTGAATGTATATGTTTTACTTCCTTTTCTTTGGTACTTCTTGTATATGCTGATCTGAGGAGGGAGGGAAGAGACGGAGAGAGAGATTTATATTAGTAAACTTTCACAGTTTTGGCCTCAAGAAGAATTGAGGTTCTCCATGCACATGGGTGTGATGTGAAAATTCATATGATTTTCAAGATGATTTTCATGCACATGGGTGTGATGTGAAAATTCATATGATTACAAATTTCTTCTTCTTTTTAATAACCATCCTTATCTGACATACATACATACATACATGCATACATGTATATATATGTGTGTGTATGTATATATGTATATATTTATAAAACACACACACCTACACACATATTCTATATACTCTAAAAGAGACAAAATTCTGCAACATGGCAATTCGTGTAAGACTAAAAACTTTAGATTTTTTATGTTTAAGCCCCTATTTTACTGTGAAGAAAGATGTCATGGCAACTTTATCTGGGAGTTGGTTTCTGCCTTTAATCACTCAGTAGAGCTGCACCTTTCAGATAAGTTTCCATGGAAAAGTGTCTGGGGCATTTTTCAACAACACCCCCCCTTTTTTTTGCCACAATGTTCAAATCTTTGCAGAACTTTTTAAAATTCCTGCCATACCAAAGCTAGCCGTCACTCATGACATCAGGTCCCTGCCAATTTTCTTAAGAATGCCAGCAGTTTCCAGGCTAATACTTTCATAATATTCTTTGAGCTATGCCCTTTGTGATAGTAAAATGCAAAATGTTTCCCATTCGAGGTAAGAATAGCTAGAAAGGGTCCAAAAGGACCTATTGTTACTAATAGTAATTTGATAATGAATTTGTTCTGTTTGTTATAAATCTAACAACTTAGTTATTCATGTGTTCTACTAACTCTACAGTCTTTGTTTATCGTATCTGTTCTCCTGACACTCCTTGGATGAAAAATTACTTTAATCCCACATTACAGATAGAAAACTGGGCCTACAGAATATGTTACTGGTAGAAGAAAAGTATGATGCAACATTACTTACATGTTTTACCTTCTTCTTTTGCATTATTTAATTAAGTGGATGCTAGGCTTGGAATGAGACAGAGCAATCTTCCTATAGGATATTCAACAAGAAGCACCTTTGAACAAAATGGGGTGTTTTTTTAAGAAACGGTGCATTGGATTATATTTTAATGTTTAGCATTCAAGTCTTGTTACTTACTTGAATAAACCAAAGGCTAATCCAGTTTAGAACATAGAATAATAGGTTTGAAAGGGACTTTGGAATCCTTCTAGTTCAACCATCTGCTCAGGCAGGAGATCCTACACCATTCTGGGCAAATATTTGTCTAGTCTCTTTGTAAAAACCTCCAGTGAAAACCTCCAGTGATTGAGCATCCACGACTTCTGGAGGTAAGCTATTCCATTGATTAATTTGTTCTCACTGTCAGGAAAAAAAATTTTAGTTCTAGTTTGGATCTCTCTTTAAGAATCTTCCACCCATTACTTCTTACTGCCCTCGAGTGGTTTGGAAAATAGGCTGAGCTCCTCTTCTCCGTGACAGCCTTTGAAGTATTGGAAGACTGCTATCGTATTGCCCCTAGTTCCTCTTTTCATTAGATTAGGCATGCCTAATTTCCTCAATCATTCATTGTACCGTTTAGCTTCTAGACATTTAGAGACCATCCTTTTCTCGTTCTAGGATTTCAACATCTTTTTTATATTGTGATGATCAGGATGCAGGTATTCTAAGTGTGGTATCATCACGTGATCTCAAAACTATTCCTCTATTAAGGTAGCCCAAAATAGCATTAGCTTTTTTGGCAGCTGTAGCACACTTCTGGATGGATACCCTCCATTGAGGATTATATGCCAAGTTTGGTTGGTCAGCCAATTGCAAATCCATCTGGTGGTGATACTGTCGATTCCACATTGTTCTGTCTTACCAAGAAGTAGGCTATGATCTACTTTGTCAAATGCCTTACTGGAGTCTAAGTAAGCTATGTTCATAGCATTTCCCTTATCCATTAATTTAGTCATTTTATCAAAGAAGGCAATAAGCTTTGGCTAGCAAGATTGGTTTTTGACAGATGCTGCCCTCTAGTAATATGTTGCTTATTTCTAGATGCTCTTATAACTAGGTAATAGGTTTCTTGTAATTAGGTAGGTTTGTAGGTATCTTCTAGTAAGTAATTTTTAGGTTTCTTGTAATTAAGCTAATTTAGGTTTTTGTAATTAAGCTAATTTTTAAAAGTATTTTTATACCATTTTAATGGTAAGATTCATTGTTATTCCACCAGGATTGAAAATGTTCCATTGGAATCTTTGTCTTTTGATCTTGATCTTGCAGCTTAGCTATATTTTATAGCCTGGAGTTACTTAACTTCTAAAATTAATAAGAAATTCAAATCAAAATTCAACTTTATTTTCCAATTTGAATATTGCTGTTATAAATGCTTCTTCAAAATATAGTCTTCTATCAGTTCTGAATTTAGGAAACAAAAATCCACAGAATAATAATTTTAATAATTCAGTTCTGAGAGTTATTAGCCAGAAAAAGAATTTAAGAGTACTGCTATGGTAAAATAATCTAAAGCCTTTGAAGCTTAAGAACTTGATCAAACATTTTTTAAAGCTGTCAATATTTCTTAACACTACAAAAAGCTTTAGCTTTTTGGCACCTGGTGATCCTTGGATTTTTTTTTTTTGAAAATAATTATTTACCCCATCTAGTGGTTGAAAATTGGAGGTGCACTCATTAGTGTTCAAAAATGATGCCAGAAATTTAACTTGGGCTTCCTCTTAATTATTACTTATTATCCCCTCATCGTATATCAGACCCTTATTGACATTAATTCTGGTAAAATCTTATTCTCATGAATTAAATATAGGCATTATATGCTGTAGGAAGAATACAATATAAATTAAAAGATAAAAGAGGCAAAAAATAACATTTCAACAGAAAAGAATTAACAAAAGAAGTCAACAAAAGAGTTAACAAAAGAAGAAAATATATTTATGGCATTCTTTGCCAATAACAAGTTCTAGAAAGTCTGCCAAAGTGCTAATTTGGGTTTGGGCATTTTTACTGGAAAATTTATCTTGTTCCAAGTTACTCTAATATTTATAATAATTGTACGTTGATGATGAAAAAATACAAAATCTTGGATAGCTTTTAAAAATACAATATACTGTTCTAAGCAAGCTTAATTTACAGCTTCATTTATGAATCTGAATACGCACTGCAAATAGTACAGAATTTGTATTTTAAATTCTGCAATATTGCATACTAAAGTTTTCTTATAGTAATTGGACTCCTGAAGATTTGTAAAATTAAATGGTTATTGTAGTATTTTAAAAAAATTCTTTATTTTATTCTATATTTTCTGTATGTTTATTGTTGAAAAAAAAATCCATAATGTAGTCTAGATTAATTGTAATATTGATTATATTCAGAAAGTGTTTTGATTAAAACTTTGTGTTTATACCAGCACGTTATTGTGATTTTTTAAATGAAATCAACTTAAATAATTCCATAATTCTTTAATTAAACATCCACATTTATCAATTTATAGAGGAAAGCAGCTTAAGTACTTTTGCAGAAACAAGGAACCAGAGTTCATTTTTTAAAATATAACAATTAAAACCAATTCTTTGATTACCCTTTCATTTCTTATTAAAAGTCAGGTATCAAAAGAGAACTGCAGGGGGAAACCCATATCATGATTTTAATGGTTTTAGGAATTTTTGTTAACAATTATATGTTATGCTTCTTAAAAAAGCAAATGTACCTGAAACTGAAAAAGCTGATTTAACACTTAATATCTTACTGTTTCCACTTTCCAAATAGTGCAGCTATTTGGTAGTATATAGACTTAATTTTCATTATAAATGTTTATATTGTCAAGATTTCAAGTACTTTTATTATGAGTACTTTTATTATAAGGTGAGAAAGTGGAAAATAACTCTGTCAAGGTCAAGATTATTTTAGCTTATAAATTTGCTGGGCACATACACTTATAAGGCAACATGACTGATATTTTCATTCTTTTTGTTATATAACAGAAATTGGGGTTTGGGCACGTGTGTCATATAATTAGTTACTCTAGGGCCATCATTTGCACATTTACTTTGAGATTAATAATACTGAATGTTACTTGCCATAATTCAGATAATATGGCTATCTTTAGAGTTGTAACATACAATATGTATTGTTTTTTACTAGTAGAAGTATTTGATTTTGGTCAGGACTAGCTCTGAGAAAAACTAAAATAAATCTGCCATCTTAAATTTTGTCTAACAAAGTCATAGAAATATATTAAAATAATCTATAAAAGAAAACCTTGGTTTTCATTTATTAAATGCAGATGCAACATTGCTTTTTTTATTCTGGACTGTATCTCAAGCATATATTGAAATAGCATTTTGAAACAATTGTTCAGTAATTTAGTAGAAATCATGATCATGTATTTTTGTAAATAAAGTAAATTACCAATTTCAAAACAACCATTATCAGCTATCCCGTACAGATCCATGTTTCAGTGAGACTTCGCTATACCCTTTAAATGTGTTCAATAAAACTTTCCAGCATGCTTGATAAATTTGTGAATTTGGATGATAGCACTTTTAGTTCATATCTGAAGCATTTACCATAATCAGTACTGAATTCAAAATTTTCCAAAATCTATATTTAGATAGAGTCACACAAAGCTTTCTAATAGCAAGTGGGTTGCCTTTTCTTAAATCTGTGATTGTACAATATTCCAGTGCTAAACATTCATTAAAGATTTTTTATGTTTGTCATACTCATTCAGTTTGTCATATTTTTAAAAAATTATGCAAAACTTTTAATGTCCCAGCATGATATTGAATCAAGTAATTGCTATGAGTCGCCTTTAATGCAGTCTTAATCATTTATAATCAAGCGAGATATGGACTGCTTAAAGATGGATATTTTGTGGAATCTGTTTCTTGGAAATAAATATAATACTATACAATTAGGAATTGCAATATTTGTCAGTACCTACAGTATAATCTCATAGAAATCAGTGGAAATAATTTAGAGAAATACTGGATGGAACTAATGCTTCATGTGGTTGGATTTGACCCATTCATTCTGACATGCTGTTTCATCACACAGGTGCATACAAAATCACAAGTGTGTATTAAATACAGAGGACTCTCTATGAAAATATTTTTACAGAACAAGGAGGAGACTTTGGTGTAGGGTTTTAAATGTTAGGATATTCTCATTTATTGTCCTGAAATTTTAATGCCTCCCATGGTATTGATTATAATTGTGTGTGTGTGCGTGTGTGTGTGTGTACACACATGTGTTTAAACATCACTTTAGAGGATTCTCATAGATGTATTCTGGATTAGGAAGTAAATGGATTGAAATAGATTAATAATAGCAAAATTACATTATTTGCATTTACTCTAAGTAAGTGTAGTTTGGACCCACCTCTTCTAAATTTAAAAGCATTTTTCTCTACTTTTCTTCCACTAGCTTTTTCTCACATGCACATTTATTGTTAAGCAATTCATTATGTAGGTCTTTAATTTCTTTCATGGTTACTTTCATATAATAAAGCATTACAGTTGCTTCTAGATCTTGATAGAATTTCTCCAGAAGGAGAAAGAAGCTTTGTGTTAGTAATTACCTAACATTGTTGGTAGCTGACTGCAGGCTTCTTACCAGTGATAACAGAATAACCACATAATGCAGCTTCATAGTACATGATTAATAGAAAATAATTACACATCCTACAAAGGAATGCAATAATTCTTATAAATTGACCGGAATGGTTTTGCGCAGATTAAAGGACTCTTCATTATTTTATCAGTCTTTTTGAAGCTGAATCAATTGCCAAAGCTGTAAGAAAGAGCTGAGGGGAAGAATACACAGTATATCTAGACATACAGAAGAATTTTAGATAATAGGTTTATCTATATCTGAATAGAATATGAATAAATAGGTTATATGTAAGATTCAAACTATGTTTGTTATTCATTACAATTAAATATTTGACTCTTGATATTTAAATTGAAGCCCCACCATAAACATTTTATATTTTTTCAGTGATATAAGCAATTAATAATCTCTTAAATGAATTTAGTACACTTAAGGAGCTGCTTCATAACATACATTATTTCAACTCTGAACATTAAATTGTAATAAATGATGGCATATAAATCTTGTTGGTATTCTGATTGTTCTTTAATTGATTTAATATTTTAGATAAAAAATAAATAATAATCTATATTTGGCAATCTATATTTTGAACAAAATATAGAATATTGAAATTACAATAATACTTGGGCTTTCTCTAGAGGTGACTGTTAAGTTCTATACATTTCTGTTTGTGTGTGTGTTCATATGCAGAACTAGCATATGACCCTGAGGGTTGCTACTAGCCAAAATCACTTTGCCTTTTATTGTTGCTGAAAGTAACGTATTCATAAAGATGCTATAAAAGTATGGTCAAATTGATTTGTAAGTGCATACAAAAGTTAAACACATTCTAAAAAGGGGGTGTAAGCAAATTAACTAGTTAAAAATTGATATCTCTATAGTGATGGCAGTAACCTAAGGCTAAAACATTATATTTCCAATATAGCAGTTCATTTTTTCCCCTTCCTACCTGCTTATACTTCATATGCTTTAATTGGGATTCACATTGCTTGTAGGGTTCATATCAAGAATAATAATGATAAAGTAAGATTTGGATGTCGGAAGCCTATCCATAAATTAGCTTGCGATACTATTACACTTCCATTACCACAATATTTAAAATCAGACAAGTGCATTAAATTTAAATATTCTTAAATAGAAAGATGTTTTTTTGGGGGGAGACAGGGAGTTTAGTATTTTAATTAGTGGCTCCTGAAGTTGGTCCAACTAACATCCTCGGAATATGATGTTTCTAAGTTCCTGAAATATCTACATGGAATATTTTCATTCTGTCATAAAAAGTTTTAATTATTCTTTAAGTAAAACAGCATTCTATAGAACATCATGATTGCTCTCCAGCACACATTTACAAAAAAAAAAAAAAGTTATTTTGGAAAGCTTCCTTGGCAAAATTCCTCTAGCACAGGTGAAGACTGGCATTATGAGTGATTACTTGCACTTTAAATCTGTAGAGAGGGAGTTTGTGTATTTAAGCAGGCTAATGTGGAATGAAACATGTGTTTATTAAACAAACACACACAGCTGGAACATCTGAACCCCCTGGTGAGGCAGCAAGTGCCTCTTGCCTTTAAGGGTTTTGGCCTCAGAACAATCAATCCAAGCAAGAGTTATTCTTACTGTAGCTGGTAAACAAACTTGCTTGCTGAATTGCACTGGTGAACTAGCATCGTGTACAGCCTTGGGAGAATAAAGAAGTCAAGAGTTTTACTTTGAGCTGCTCTTTTATCCTGATGGCAAATGAGGTAAAAGCAGAACTTGGTGATGTGATTTATTGGTTAAATGAGTGTATTAAGATCTGCCTCGTGGCTTTTAATACCTCAACTTTATAGAAACTTTTCCCAGCACACAGAAATGTCTTCATTACCAAAACTAAAACAAAAATCTCTGCTACTTTATGTTACAGCTTAATCTGGACAAACCTTCTCCTCAATGTTTGTGCCAAATGAGAAATTAAGGTGGACTTAAAATGGAAGGAGGTATGGAAAGACAGCCTCAGGAAGAAAGGCAAATTTGAGGTTATGAACAAGTGGGTTAATGGATAGAAGTAGATAGGAAACAAATGTGAACTGAAGATAGCAGGGGATACAAAGCATATATAAGCTGTTAATAGATTAGGGTTAATAGATCCGGCACAAGTTAATCAGATCATTTGAAGAAAGCCCTGAGAGGGATGGAAGTAATTTTGGTTCCTTGCTGTTTCTATTCCCTTAAATGCTATGCAAGGACAGGTGAATTTGCACCCCATATAATGCCTAAATCCCATCAGAACCCATTAATGCTTAGTTTCAGGTAAAAGCAGGCTGGCAAACACAACCCCCGCAGCAGAATTCTCTCTAGGTTTATTCTATTTTCCTTGGCTTTTTTTTAAAATGAATTGTTGCTCTGTCTTTTGAACAAGGAATCTGTTTTCTTCTGTTTGGTTTAGCACATATTTTAATGGAATCCATTTTCAATTGCTTGAGCTCCTGTTAGGATTAATCATAGCAATATTTACCTTTCAGGGACAAAGACAATTAAATTTTGATCTCTATTATTTGTTATTGCTTTCAGGAAAAGATTGTTTCTTAAACTTTCATATACTTGGTTTTGTTTGGATTCATCTTGCTAAGCCTAAATAAAATTCAAAGCAAAATGCATTTAGTAATTTTCAGGTTTATAAGATCTGTGATAAAAGTTTATGGCAAGAAGCATTGGTTAACACAGAGAAGAGGTAATGATATGTAGTTCTATGTGAATTTAATAAAAAAATAACATAGGATGTTTTTCAACTCTGTTAAACTATACTGTGTGTCTGTATGTCTGTGTGTATTTACAGTAAAGAGAAGTATGTTTCTATTAGTGAGAACCAAACAGAATAGACACAAAAAAAAAGATGAATCCAATTTGAACACATCTGAAAAGTGCCTCAACAATGTGCACTTTTTTAAAATTAAAAAGCTATATTACAAGGAAGACTGTACCAGTTACCTACAACTGGAAAAAGATTTCAGATTGAACATGTTTAGAACAGGGTTTATCTTTCTTTTTATTTAAAAAGTGTTTATCACCAAATCAGGAAATGCATACGAAATAGATGATGATATAATCACATTCCCATCTCATAGAATATATATGGCTTGCAGAATCCATAGGTAAGTAAATAGGGTTTTTAAAAAAAATAAATCTTTTTTTCAGACAAAGAAACAAATGCCTAATCATTTAAAAAGTAATTTTCTATCTTGGCCCTAACTGCATTTCAAATGCTTGAGAAAGTCATGCGTACAACATTCATGCACTCTTCCTTTACATTTTAATTTTCCATTCATGCTCTACATAAGGAGGAAACTTGAGTCATATGCAAAACTCCATTGCATTCATATCAGACTAAAGGTTAATACTGCGTATTGTTTTCAATTAGGAGTACAGTAGATTTGGCTGGTGGGTAGGAGAAATGAAAGGAACCATTGGCTTAGTGCCTAAAGCCTACATAACGGAGATGTATGATATTTGAGAGGCAAGAGTAAGTACATTTTAATTCAATTTTCTGTAATGGTTTATATGTTCCTTTACTCTGTTTTATACAGGTTTCTTTTCCTGGAACATTTAATGTATTTCTTTGGGTTGGGAGGAGAAAAAAGATTTGTAATTTTACATCAAATAAAATATTGTGTTTTTAGAAATAGGAAAAATGTTCTCCAATACTTCCATCACATCAATATTGTGACCATCAGACCAATATCAGACCCTAACCCTTCATTTTATTATAATTAAAGAGTCCCAGGAATAAAGTATTTAGAACATTGAACATGTAAGCAATTTTATTTTGCAAAATGATCCCAGTGTAGGGGTTAGAAATGGTGAGCACACTTCTTTTCCTCATTTTTTTTCATACAGACTATTGTCTTTTTAAAACAACTACAATAATACCAAAACTAGCAGTCTGAGCTATCATTTAAGTTGTCATAATTAATAAATTATTCTGCAGTTGGCAAAGGAAAGAGTGGTTTAGAAACCTGATCATTTGTAGTAGTCTCTAGCAACGTTATGCTTGCAAACTATGTGACTCAATAATTAGGTAGCTTCAAGAAAAATAGGGGTTCAAGAAAAACCATACAGTTCAAATGTTATATCTGCATGTAACCTAAAACTTGATTTATTACGAATTTTGAACGTGCCTCACAAAAATATTTTTAAAGACATTTCATTGGGAAAGATTTACATTCAAAATATTTCATATACCATGGCCTATTTTCATTTTGTCGAGGGCATTCTAAAATTTGGCTTTGTGTAGAAGCTTCTTTTCCTATAGATATATTTTGCATTTAGCTGTTTTAATAGCAATAACCTATCTGCACCTTACATTAGGGCTGTGTAATTTTCTAAATACATGTTTTGGAGCCTAGGAGGTATTCTTATAGGAGGTCCATGCAGCTGCTTAAAGCAACTATATCTTTTCTGAGAATGTAGGAGCTTTCAACAGCTGCAGTATAGTCTTTATAAAAGAGAAATGCTGAGGTAGACATGTATTATATGTCCGTATCTGTGTGTTCAAAAGATTTTTTTTTAAAATCTTTAAAATCTATTTTTTTTTAAATCAATTTTTTTAAAAAAATTGACAGCTGAGAAGAATTAGGTACTAAGCTTTCTCATGCACTTTTGTTCACTTTTTCAGTCTTCATTTAATTCAGACATGGGATTCATAGCTTAATTATGAAAATAAAACAAATCAATTGAAATCTTGTAAAGATGTTGTTCTACATTAATAGGATAAGATTTAGTCATTTGTCACGTGAAGTTGTTATGTTGTGGCTCCAGTGCAAGGGACTAAGGGGTTTTCTGTTCTGATTAATTACTGGGGAAAATGAGCAGAACTTAACTCTGGAAGAGTTCTGTGTGGTTAGGGTATGGACTGTCACTATTTGACTAAAAATGAGAGTATACAGGGCTTTAAACACATCTCCTGTTATTTGTGAACTTCAGATAACTGACCAAAACTAAGGATATTCAATAGTTATTTTTATTGATTAGGGAGGTATTTTTAAATTTTGTTTGTTGTCTTTAATCAAAGAAAGAAACAAGCCTCTTAGTTTGTGCATCTGTTTTCTAAGATGCGTTAAAGCTGTAGATTAGGGACATTTGCATTAATTGTGGTGGGGTAGAAAGGTAAAGAATAAAGAAATTTGCAGTGTGGTATCCTGACTTATAGTTTCTTCATTAATGTAGAATCATATTCCAAAACTATTTAGAGGCCCTAAGGCTGGGAAAACATGGATTGCATAATTCCTTATGGTTTAAACATGTGTTACTTTTTTTGCATTAGTAACTGTAGTTACTAACTGTAGTTACCCCCCCCCTCCCCTTGCTTTCCAGCCAGGCTGATTCTGCAAATTGGAAGCCAACGAGGGCTATGAAGAGGCTACAGAGATCTATATGAAATGAAAGATTGGGAAGATATACACCTTTTTACTTTCATTTTTGCTATTTGCTTTGATACTCTTTGTTGTGGTATACAGTTATTTAGGGTTGTATTTATTATTTACTTGGTAAATGAGCATGGCCAGATTATATGCACTTGAAATTTTATGGAAGAGAGCTGCAATAAATTTTGATGATCAGCCTAATTAATTTCAATATCTGCAACATAGCACATCTTTGCAAGATTTTATGCCTCTACTTAAGTGATACATGGCAGTGGATCTTTCCTGTAAACATTGCTATGATCTGCTTTTTCTATGATCTGCACATTATATATAATGTAAGACTCTGATAGCATATGCAATGAACAGCAATAATAGAAATTATATTAGGCTGCTAGAAATTATATTAATGTATTTGATAAGTCTTGTATAAAATAAACAAAATCCATTTTTTGAGTTTATTCTATTTATTCCAAAACTCATGTTTCTTTTCCTATAGAGAACAAGAGCCATGTTGATCCACAAACAATTGCAATGATCCAAACTGCCTTTGTTTGCTTATAATAATAAACTATGAGATAGGAAAATTAATTGATATTTGGGTGATTAGTATTTATATTCACTTTCCATATTTTGGCTTTGTCTGGGGATCACCTCCATCTGTATGCTCAAGTTCTGCAGGTATCATGCTCCTAATCTTTTCCCCCAGATTGGCATAGGTAGTATTTTGATGGCTTGATTAACTTCAAATATCTCTCTGAAGTTCAGTTGTACTATTTCATCCGCATCTCTCATAAAAGCAGGATCAAGAAGGTTCAGTGTTAAGACTTTTTATTTTGGGGAGCAGAAGCCATAAATTTCAGAAAAATATATATTGCGATCGTAACTCAATGTTGATTTGATATATTTCCTGTTTCTAAGTTAATAGTGGCCAAAGATCGAGTTTAGACAGAATTCATCTAAAATTAATATAGCTCAAGATACAAAATGCTCATAAGTTGCAGTTAAGTTGTTTTAAAAGGGTTCACCTGTTTCTGTCTATCTTTCTAGTTATCTTTTACTCTGCATACATGCAAATAGTTTATCACACAGTGAAGCTATTAATTTTCTGCATATAATTATCTAAATATATATTTTTTAAAAAATAAAATCTTTACTCATAGAAACTAGTATGATAAAGGGAAGATTAATTGGGTGAATTGGAAATAAATTCACATTGAAATCAGAGAGACCTAAATGAATGTAATATATATTGTGATTTACACTTACAAGGAAATAAATCTTGTCTGCTTTTGAGGAAACATTTAAAAGGCTCCAACATTAAGTCTGTATCCAATGATGTCTACCCTAACCCTTCGCAGAGAAGCGTTAAAACAAATCTCCCTCATTGCTTTCTGAAGTGGTATATCCAACAACAGTTTAAGCATGTGATTAATGATTCTTGGTATGCATCAAGGCATACCTCTTTCAATTGCAATGTTTATCTCCTGTTTTATTGTTTTGTTTTTTTTATAAATTCCATTGAAGTCTAATGGCTAGACTATTATTTTAAGAAAATTCATTGGTGAATGAAGAATTCTTTAGGATTAATCATTCTTCAAGTTTATGGATATGACCTGACATGCCTGAGATGCAACGGTTGTTAACAAATCAGGAATTATATCACTGTTCCAAAGTGTTTCTTAGTGTTAGAAATAATGCTAATCTAAGAGTTTTTTTTGTATTACCGTTTGCCAGAAGATGGCAGTAGACTTTCACGGCACTTGCTGGTGAAGAACCCATCCCCCAGCCACTTTTTTGGTGTTCAAATTATTTTTTTTGCAACTTAAAATATTTGGAGAATTTCCTTCCCTTTTTCATTTTAATCCAGGAGAGGGAGTCCTTAGCCAACTGATCAATGAAAAACCTTTCAAATAATTTTTCCTATTGATTGGATGATGTAGGCAGCAGTGATTTTATTGTTCTCTTAACCTTTCTTTCATGTACAACACAGCTGATGTTAGCAAACACACCATTCACAGTGCAGATATTTCAAAGGTACTATATTCATGTCTTTTAACTAGACATACCCTAATCTAAGCCAGTAAAAAGAAAAGGGTGAGCCTATTTGTTTATGAAGGCTTGACAAAAGGCTTGACAACTTGGGGAGAGGAGAGCCTGAAAAAAAAAATATCCCCATTAATATGAACCATTTGGCAAAATACGCTAATTGGCTTGTTCTCATTATTTACTTATATTTCCTTGTGTTCTTTGCAAATGAGTTATTTTGTAAGTTATATTTTATATAATACCTTGCTTATTTGCTCTGTACTACACTGCCATTAGATCCTAGAATAACATTCCATGCTGCAAATTTTTAAGGTTCAAATAAAGTTTAATTGTTTGCAAACTGTTACGATGCTAATAATTCAATAGCCTGCTGGGTTACTAATGAAATTACTTTGTTATGATTAATTTGGAAAATAGTGTGTTGATTGTAGTAATTAAACACAACAAGGTGAAGTAAATGATTCTTATGCCATCTGGCCTCCAAAATGAATGAAGAAACGAAATGGAGCTGTCATCTGAATTTATTTGGAGACGTAAGGGTAATACAGATGCTTTCCTATGCAGAGATGCCAGGATGTACTTATGTTAGCTTGTACAATGATTTCACACACATATGCATATGGTTATTCATTTGATTGTGTGGTTTATGTCCCAATTCTTTTCTTCTATATAGCCATCCATGGCCCCGGAGCACTCATGGAGTGAGAGCACGTCTGGAAGAGGCAACAGGTTGGGGATTATGTTCATAGCATCTGTATTTCCAGTTGCTATGAATGGACATAAGTTTTCAGGCAAAACATGAATGGCTGTGTAATCTACTGCTGTGTTCTTAGTGCAAGAAATATACACTTCTTGAGATATATATTTGTTGGCAGGTATCATATTTAATGCTTGGAACTGAAAATATTCTTGTAATTGATTTTAATGCAACCCTACAACACTATTTGTGATGATAACCCAGTGGAAAAAAATATATATCATGATTGTATAGTATAATATACTTAGGCAAAAAGCCCAAAGAGATCAAAGGGATTACTTCAGTCATAAGAAGGTTAGTAAAAATTATTTTTGAGGACAGACTGGTATAGGGATAAGGGAAAATAGAATTGTTGAGCATAATTCAATGCCCAAGAATATTTATCCCACCACATTTACATTCTTCAAAGGAAACATGTTCCATCAACTATGTTGCGATAATCTAAACAGGTACAGGTAATTCTTGTCTTACAAGTTCATTTAGTTTTCATTCGAAGTTACAACCACATTGAAAAAAGGGATTTACGACCGATCCTCATACTTAAGACCATTGTAGCATCTCCATAGTGATATAATCAAAATTCAGAAGATTGACAATTGGCATGTATTTTGATGTGGTTACAGCATCTTAGGATCACATGATTGCCATTTGTGACCTTCCCAGCTGACTTCTAACAAGCTAAATCAATGGTGGAATCTGGATTCACTTAACAGTCGCATGACTCACTTAATAACTGCAGCAATTTGCTTTACAACTATCACAAAAAAAAGTCTTAAAATCTGGCACAATTCTCTTAGTAACTGCCTTACTTAACAGCAAAATGTATGGTACCAATTTTTGGAAATTGAGTAGTAGGTCTAGTGGATGATAAGCTTGGGAGGGGATTGATTCTCATTAAATTTGGATGGAATTTATCTCTACAGTTAAAATCCATAGGATCAGATGTTTTCTGAGAGTTAAAATAGGAACTCACTTCTTTAAAAAAAAGGGGGGGAGGGAATTGTATCCAGGAAACTACAGAATTGTCAGCTTGACATCAATACCTGGAAAGATTCTGGAAAAGATAATTAAGCAACAAATCTGCAAACACCTAGAGGCAAATAAAGTCATAACCAGAAGCCAATATGGGCTTGTCAAAAACAGATCATGCCAGACAAATCTTATTATATTTTTTGACAAAGTGACAAAATTAGTGGACCAGAGAAATGCTGTGAATATAATTTACTTAGATTTCAGTAAGGCATTTGATAAAGTTAACCACAACCTACTATTTGACAGGAAAAGAAGGGTTAGACAGCACCAGATGGATTTATAACTGGCTGACCAACCACACTCAACATGTAGTCTTTAATGAAATTGCTTCTCCATGGAGGGAAGAATGCACTGGGGTGCCCCAAGGCTTTGTCTTCGGCCCAGTAATCTTCACTATCTTCACCAATGATTTAAACGAAGCACTAGAAGGGAATTCATCAAATTTGCAGATGACACCAAGCTGTCAGGAACAACCAATATTCCAGAAGATAGGCTGAAGATATAGAAGGATATTGGAAAGACATAGAGCCCTATCTAACAAAATGAAATTCAATGTAAAGTAATATTTTACATTTAGGCAAGAAAAATCAAATGGACATGTATAAAATAGGTGGAACCTGGCTCAATAGTAGCAGTAATTGTGAGTGAATCTCAGAGTCCTAGTGGACAGTCATTTAAATATGAGCTAGCAATGTGCTGCAGCTGGCAAAGAAGCCAACACAATCCTATGCTGCATTAATAGAGGAATAGAATCAAGTTCACCTGAAGTTTTAATACCACTTTAAAATGCCTTGGTAAGACCACACTTAGAATATTGCATCCAGTTCTGGTTGCCATGATATAAAAATACTGAGACTCTAGAGAGAATGCAGACATCAGCAACAAAGATGATTAGGGTACTGGAAGATAAAATATACAAAGAAAGGTTGAATGAATTTGATATTCCAGTTTAATGAAAAGTGGATTAGGAGTAATATGATAGCAGTGCTCCAATTTCTAAGGAGCTTCCACAAATAAGAATTCTCCAAAGCACCTGAAGGCAGGACTAAATGCATGGAAACTAATCAAGGAGAGAACTAATTTAGAACTAACGAGAAATTTCTTGACACAACAATTGATCAGTGGAATGACTGACATCCAGGAATGACTGACATCCAGAAATTGTGACTGCTCCAACACTGAAGTCTTTTAAAAAGAAACTAGGCTGTCTGAAATAGTATAGAGCCTTCTGTTTGAGCATTGGATTGGGGTTGGGGGTGGACTAGAAAAGCTCAACTCTGTTATTTTGTGAAGAGTTTTGTGCAGATAACAAGAAGTGGGCTGGTAAATGAGCAGCCATATGGGAAGCATTTCACTTTGTTCCCAAAAGATAAACACTTCTTAGTCTTTCATTTTTATTGTTCCTCTATTTTGGAGAATAATAAAATTTTCATGGTCTCAAAATCAAGGTTATCAATTATACCACAGGACACCCATCCTGTTTCTGAATGGCCCAGAAGGGTGAAAATGTAAAAGGCTACAGACAAGAAATAGACTTAGTTGGCTGCTGGAAATAGTCCGGAAGCAAACTTTTTGAGACTAAAATTAATTCCCTCAGCTATTGGCAGCTTCAGTTAAGTGTCCTTAATATTTATTTAACACTATTCTTCACCCACATTCTGTTACGCATTGTATTTGAAAAAGGGCCCGGTGTCTATCAGGCCCAAGCCCAGAGACGACACTAAATTCCAATGAAGTCCAA